TTTCTTTTGGATTTTGTTAAAAGGTTTAATAAACATCTCAGTTCCAAAAAATTAGAATGTTCTGGCTTATTTTTGATGTGTCAGGATTTACAGGGTTAAGCCTACAGAGATGACGTTTTCTTTTTATGAGCAGTTTCAACTAAAATGGCCCCTATGTAGTGCTCTGTAATTATAACAGATTTAGACTAAGCCATTCTTTATCACAGGGACAGATACAGTATAAATCACTAAGGATTAGTTCAATCCTTCTGTCTCCCTGCTGTTGCTGATTATATCCTATAAAAAGCTCATTACAGTCAAAATTGGTTAATCATTAAATTCTAATTTAAAGATCAATAACCCTTTGGAGTCTTTGATTGGTAAAAAATAATGCATTTAACGTGGTTAATCATGATAAACTAACTGGTGATACCATGGGGATTAAAGATTATTTTAGATACACTTGGGATATATTGGTGTAGAAAAAGAACCCAGAGGTTATCGTAATTAACACTTGAAAAGCCAAACGTCCTGTGGTTGATTCAATTTAGAAACTTTTGTACTCACTGATTGTTTGTTCAAGAGAATTGTAAGCGAAGAAGAAACAAACATGGTGAAAAAGGAAAACAGTAGTCAAACATGCATTTCCTGCAGACATATGCTTTGATTTTAGCCCTACAGAAAGACAATAGTAGGGAGGCTGCCTCCCCTCAGCAACGCACCAACCGGAAGAAGCACATTCACTGGATGGGAGAAAATACATTCCAGCAAGAGTTAACACTAGCAACAGAGTGACACCAGAGAGAGAACATTTGTGTTTTTTCAGAGCACCTTTTTATTACAAATCATAGACATGAATTCAAAATAATACATATTCACAAAATGCTTTCATGTATTTGTCAGGAACAAATTCATTATCATTCTGATACTCAACAAACATAACTCATTCTTTCACGCACAGACACACAGTCTCACACACACACGCAGACTGTCAAAGCAGTCACCTTTTAATTGGACCCTCTACCAGCCTGAAAACATTTGTCAGCTGCCATCTGTCTGTCTGGGACCCCCCCCCCCCCCCACACACCCACC